CTCCACTGTTCCAAGAACCCTATCCTTACCATCCTCAACAAACTGAAACACCAAGCATGTCCTTAGAGGACATTGTGAAAAACATTGCCAATTCTACCCAAATTTTCCAAGAAACAACTCAAGTTGTCCTCAAAAGCTTAGAGCAACAAATAACACAAATTGCTCAATAATTGAGTATAGTGGAAGCTTAACACAAATTACCATCTGAAGAGAGCCCATGTCATAACGCATGTTGCATTCCTTTGAAAGATGAGAAAACTTTTGATGGCCCAAGAGTGTTATATGAAGAAGAGGAAGAAGAAGTAGAAGTGGAAGAAGTTGTCAAAGAGGAAGAAGAAATTAAGAATGTTGTCAATGAAATTGCAAAGGAAGTAATAAGGGTTAACGAAAGAGAGATTGAGCCACACACTACCAATGAGAAACTAACTCTAGTGGTAGAACAACCACAAGATCCGGAAACTAACTCTAGAGGTAGTATTTGATTATATTGGGTTTCATTCTGACCATCACGATCATACATCCTTGTACTCTTATAGTAAATAGAGTACTTAAGTTTATACAACACTTAATTAATTTTTTTAAATAATTTATTTACTTGGTTGTCTTTCTCATTCTTTTGAACAACCTTTCTTTCTCATTATATTCTTCTTATAAGGCTTTCTACAATCATTTTTAATTCCTCCAGGGAGTATTAATATTAACTCCATCCCTATACTTTTTTGCATAACTAAATTCTCATATAAAATCCATTTTTTCAGTTTTTTTGTGAAATCTTTAGGATAATTAATTATCATAATTGAATGGTTATTTACTCATTACATTTCTTAACAACACGACATGACGTGTCGCATCCTTTTCATGACTAAATTATGTGGACCATCAAGTCACATACTGTAATACAAATTTCCTTTAGTTGCGTTCTCACGACCACATCACATTCATTTTCATACATACAACTTGATCTGTTGGGTAGAATATAAAATTACTCCATGCCCGACTTCATTTATTACATCTGTCGTGTCACACCCCAAACCAGAACGGCGGAAACGTTCGGGGGCGAATGACATCATGTACAGTATCACAACAATTGAATAATACTACTCAAAGCTTAAAAAACCATTGTATTGATAATATAGAGTTTACATTGTGTTTGTAACATTGTTTGTATGACACCAAAAGTGTATAGCAAAGACTATAAGACGTGACACTATGATGCTCTGTCTTCTCAAAACTTGTGAGCGTATCTGTCTACTGGTTCCCTGAGAATACAAGTGGTTTTGAAAGAGTATCAACATTTAAGTTGGTGAGTTCATAAGCATTTTTGCATTTGAAGTCTATCTTTGTTCTTTGAAAAGGGTAGTGTGTTTTCTTTAGAAAATCCAATATTTTCTTTTGTAAATGAAATGTAGTCTTAGGCCTTAAGACCAAAATGTATGTGTATTATTGTACTTTGAAATAGTATACTGCATTCTTATTATTAAATAAACCATATAAATGAATGCTTCCCAGAAATGTATGTTGTACTGTATTTGGAAAATAGTGTACTATGTTGTATCTGTATGAAAAACCTTTAGTATGTATGAGCCTAGAATCCACCAACTGTACTGTAAAGTAGTGTAATGTAGTTCTATTATTAAAATAAAACCATTGAAGTTATGTTTTCTCGTAAACCAAAAAGTTTAGTTAATGCTTATTGTGAGTGATATTATAATCATGCTAAAATGACTAGTGGCATGCACGATGTTAGTCGGGCGTCGGAATGTTATGACATTTGTCACACTAGACCTGTTGGTCTAACTATAGCTAACAGTTTAGGTGCGGGATTTTCAGTCCCGTATAGATATGTACATAAATTCACACTCTCCCTCCAGGAGAATCTGGTTATAATTCAGGACTTTAGCGTGACATTTGTCACCCCAGACCTGCTGGTCTAACTATAACTAGTAGGTACGATGAAGTAGTGGCTCACAATCCTCTATTAACTAGTTTATGTATAGTGTGTTAATGTTCTCTTGTTCCTGTAAATGTATGTATTCCCCTTTTGTAGTGTACTTATAATGTAAAATAATTATACTTAAATAATTATTTTTGTATTGTATCTTTAAACTTGGTAAAATAGTGTAAGTGTTCCCTAAACTATACCTATTATAGTTTAATATGTATGTTCTTGTATTGTTTGTCCAATTAGCAGAATAGTATGTATGTTCCATAAACTATACCTATTATAGTATATATGTATGTTCTGCATGTAACGAAAATCCTTGCTATTTAACACTTTGTATAAACGGTAATGAAAATATTTATGAAAATACCCCTTTGCTCGGCATGTTACAAAAGGGTTAAAGTTTTATACTTATATATATATATATATATATATATATATATATATATATATATATATATATATATAAATGAGATCGAATAGGATGTCAGACAAGTGATTCTACCCTAAGTCCACAACCAAACAAGAAACAGGATTTAAGGCGAAAACACCAATCCTAAGCCTGTTGTAATATATATATATATATATATATATATATATATATATATATATATATATATATATATATATATATATATATATATATATATATAGTTCAAGATAACAATTGAAATAATTTGGAATAGTTTGAAACAGTTTGAAATAGTTTGAAATCGTTTGAATGTTAACACAAGATTCCTTGTGTATTAATTGTATCCCCCCCCCTAAAACCTTGAAAATAGTGAAAACATAGGGGTATGAACTCACCTTGAATGTGTGTTCTTGTTTGGATACGAAGTGATAGCGATGATCCTCGGGTTAGAACTCGTGTGGATAGTCGTATCCTAATAATAATTATACACGATATCGTATTCAAATGAGTGAAATAATAATTTAAAGTGTTAGTCAACACTAGATTATGTAAGAAATACTTACAAAAATCCTTAGGAATTATTTGAAGGGATAATGTCACTGTAGCACATGGAATTTTCATCAATTGACTTATTTGGTCCTTAAAGTTTTTTTGGTACATTAGGCCAGTAAAATCGTAAGTGGCCTTTTAATTACACCATTTTATCAAGTTTTATAAGGTTTCCCAATTATAATGCTTATGTGGCACGCTGATGTGTCCAATAAGCTTACGTGGGAAGCTTATGTGTCGAAGTAGTCCAGTTGTCGATATAGGGTTATTAATTCAAACCCTCATTCGGACCTCCATTAAATCTTTACTTACCCTTCTTTGAAAAGTCAAAGACTTCCCCATCCCCAACTATTTCCGTCCTGAAGAAGAATGTCTTCGAGCTCATCGACGTCAAGGCATCAACTACAAGTCACTCATGTTTAGTCGCAAGAAGGGGTAAAGGTTTGTGATTGTGTCGTTCCAGCTAAAGAACGAACCTATTGGAAGATAACAAACCCTGGGTGGCAATTCTGGAATTGTCAAAACAGTATGGTAGGTCCCGATTCTCATGATTTTGATAAGTTAGTATTTTACGGTTTGATGTGTGACGATCACTGTGAATAAAACCCTAATTTTATTTGTTTCTTTACGATCATTGTGAATAAAACCCATTTCGTTGGTACATTAAAGGTAGCTGATTTGTGATTGTCAGTCAAACCCTAATTTTATTGGATTTTTATAGACTAGGTTGAGGAAATGTAGCTTCTTTGAATGGAAAGATGAAGAACAGGCAGACGTGTACTACAAAAACCTACTGTATTCTCTGAAGCAGAAACTGGATGCCAAAGATGAACTGTCTGAGATGAACAAATTGAGGAGAAGGATTTCTAAAGTGGATTTTCTGCTGTCACAGGAGCAGTATAAGGTGGCAAAGAGTGAGAAAGAAGTTCATGATGCAAGGAAGGCAATAGGCAGGTACAAGATGATAGTTGCCCTGTTGTTTGCTTGCTTGGCCCTATGTGTTTTGAAGTTAGGGGGGTGATTGTAGTTAGTTTGGTTGGTTAGTTTAAGCTTTTGTTTTTTTGGGATCCCTTGTATTTTTTGTAAAGGCAGACTAGAAATTCAATAATGATGGGCATTTTGTATGTATTGAAGCTGCTTTTAGTTATAAGTTGGGGTTATCAACCTTAATGTGTTGATGTTGTAAGGTGGTAAGTCCCTAATAAAAGGGCATATGATAAGTATTGTAAAAAAATATTCAAATTCCCAATTATAGGGCATTTTGTGTAATCAGATGATGTTAATCAAACATATGCATGGTCTGTATTCCCAACAAATATATTTAATTAGATTGGTTGTTGTGCATGTTTTAAATTTGGGAACAAATTAGGAAGTGGTCCATGTGGAAGTACACTATGTGTATGGGGACCATTTGTAGTTAGTGAGTGTTTTAATAATGAAAAAATGGGACCTGTGAAGCCATTAAAAAACCATATCCGGGACCATATAATACATCCCCATGCATGCACATTATTCCAATTTTTTCCATGCATAAATATTCAAAGCCAAATATCATGATTTTACTTAAAAAGGCAACATACTTTCATACTTCATATCATTCATAAATAAATGACCAACATACCCTTTTCTCTCATACATAAATAAATGACCAACATACCCTTTTCTGTCATACATAAATAAATGACCAAAATACCCTTTTCTGTCATACATACTTAAATGACCAAAATACCCTTTTCTTGCATACATAAATAAATGACCTACATACCCTTATCTGTCATACAAAAATAAATGACCAACATACCCTTTTCTTTCATAAATACTTAAATGACCAAAATACGCTTTTTCTTTCATACATACTTAAATGTCCAAAATACCCTTTTTCTTTCCTACATACTTAAATGACCAAAATACCCTTTTCTTTCATACATACTTAAATGACCAAAATACCCTTTTCTTTCATACATACTTAAATATAAATTACCAACATCCTATTACATAAACTTTAAATATAAATTACCATCATCCTATTACATAAACTTTAAATCCAGTTTACCATCATCCAAGTACATAAACTTTAAACACAAATTACAATAAACATTAATCGATTACAAGAGCTTTTCCCTTCGAATTTCCTAGATCAACAACACCACCAATTGTTTTTCCTAATTTCAGTTTCAATATTCTCTTTGACTTTCTTCTCCTTATCTTCTTCAAAATCTCTGAAATTGGCCTAACACTAACTTGCTGAACTTGGATAACATGAGCAACCTCCTGAACATTACCATTATCAACTTGGGCATTAGGATTAACCTCATCAACCTCCTGAACATTTACATTATCAACTTGGATAATAGGATCAACCTCCTCAGCCTCCTCATCTTGAACAGCTCCCTCAACCATAACAGCTTCCTCAACCACATCAGCTTCCTCACCCATAACACCTTCATAACATCTAGGTGGAGTAAATTGCATATAATGACTAAAATCCCCTGCACTACTAGATTCAACATCAGTAGGAGCAACTTGCATATCATTTTGAGTAGTATCAATCTCAATTGGAGTCATTTCAACCTCTTCATGTTGTTATGGTTCACTTGTACTACCCTATATGGCATCATATAATTATGTTAGTAATAAATTATATGTTATTAATTTTATATTTTAAATTGTTTTACTTATCCTGCATTTTTCTTCACACAAACTTTTTGTTTCTTTTGTTTCTTCACATTTAACTTTTAGGGCCTTCTCTGTGGACAAGTGGCCTTGTTGTGACCTATCTCCTTGCAAATACTAAATCTGATTTTCTTTCCAGCCTTAGAACCCTGTGTGTTCCTGTATTCTCTATAATGGATTTCTTCCCATAGTAGCTGGCCTACCAACATCCTTCTATTAATAGGAGGCAATGGTGGAGTATAGTTTGTCTTTGGCCACATATCACTGCTATTCATGGGAGAAATTTTGTAATTGTATGCCTTCCTAAATGTGGTTCTGCTAAACATGTTGTCTACATACGCTTCTACATCCCTATTAAGAAAGGATATGCTAGCTACAAAATGAGCACATCCATATCCATTCAATTGCCACAACCTACATCAGCATGTTTTCCTTTGTAAGTCCACCTCATATGCATCTATTGCTCCTCTTACCTCAAACTGGTTTAATCCACTTGGTAGTACCTGATAATGCCTTTGAGCTTTTTAAGCAAATTCACCTTATCCCTTATCTCTGGACAAATATGATTTCCCTGTTGTTATCCCTTTAATTTCATGTTGTAGATTCTGTCCAGCATGTAAAATCTTATCTCCTCTAACATGGTTATTATGGGCTTCCTCCTGGCATCTACTATTACAAAATTAAAACTTTCTGAGAACCCATTTTCAACTGCATCACAACACCTTCCAGTTTGAAAGAAAGCACTTGACCATGTTTTAGGATCTTTCTCCATGAGATATTGATGGGCATCTAGGTTCAATGTCTCAATTTCTTTCATCATAAATTTAAAAACATGCTCAGTTGTGGCTTTAGATGCTCTCCAAAACAAGGTATGATATATGGCACCAGTAAATCTCTTCTGCAAATTTTGGCAAATATGTCTAGCACACTGCCTGTGGTCTACATATGGCAACAACTCTTTAACAGCCTCTATCAAACCCTGTAGTACTATAAAGGTTTAATCAGATAGTGTAAAATAAACATAAATGCATTACTATGTAAAATACTAACCTTATGTTGGTCTGACATTAAACTGAAACCATTCCCTAAATTCAAGTTTAGATCATCAATTAGAAGCTCTAAAAACCACTTCCAATTCTGCTTGTTCTCCACATTAACCACTGCCCAAGCAATAGGATATATCTTGTCATTTGCATCCCTCCCAATAGCATAAAGTAATTCTCCCTTACAAACACCTTTAAGAAAACATCCATCAAGACCAATTACCCTTCTACACCCTTCAATCCAACCTTGTTGTAAGTCCCCAAAATTGCTTGTGTATCAATCAGATACAATTGATGGTGCGGAATCCCAATCAATTGGATGATGTCAGATCAAAATAGAAGAGAATGAGAAGAAGAAGAAGATGAAACTATGATGTATTAATGAAATTGAGTGATGCTCCTTACAATAGATTCTCTCTCACACACACTTCTTCTCTCTAACTTTCTCTCTCTTCTAACCTTACATTCACATGCACTCCTCACCCTATATATATGAGACATGGGCCACCACCAGCATACGAGTGTACGGCTGCACATGCGAGTGCAGCCGTACACAGGTTGTGCGGCCGCACACACATGTGCAGCCGTACACAGCCACAATATTACATATTATATTATAGAAAAAATATATTTTCCTAGAAAAGAAAAGTATAAACCAATAATTATGACCCAACAATCTCCCCGTTGGTTTTTAGATTTCTTTTCTAAATGACCCAACAAGCTCCCCCTAAAAAGTAGCTGACTTTTCTTGTCAATCTTCAATAGGAGCTTGGGCTTCAGCTTTGATCTTTGATTTCTTCACAGCTTCAAGATGAACTTGATGAATCTTCATGAATGAATTCATCTCAAGCGGTTGGGCTTTTCTTCAAGATTTGACTCTGAACGCACATTGGGTGAGGAGGCTTGATGAAAAGATTTTTGAAAGATAGCACTTTCAACTTGAGAATCTTCAGAGAGAACAACGGAGAGAAATAATCTTATGGATCACTTCAGCAGGTTCATAGATAGTAGCAAATTGATTGAGGAGGCTTCAATGTAATCTGTCACATAATCTTCAAGTACAGCTTCACCATGCTTCTCGGGTTGACAGACTGAATGTTGAAAGAATAATCTTCATTTCTTGCTCCTTCGAATGAAAATTCTTCGATGCTCACGGATGAAGCTTCGGCTCAGAAAATTTCGATACAGTCTCAATGAGTCTCATCTACACCTGAAATCACTTTTCAAGACAAAACAAAACTAAAAGAAAAATTAGCGCATAAAAAAATATTTTTGGATTTTTCATATTTTCTGAAAAAATAAATCAGAAACAAAAAAAAAATTTAGATTTTTGATTTTCTTGAACAAGAAATAAAACAGAATATAACACAAATTTTTGATTTTGAATTTTTTGTTTGATTTTTGAATTTTTGAATTTTTAATTCTCCCTAATGTTTAAATTAGAAGAAATTATAAACAAATTTAACAAAAATAAAATGATATCTAACTTTAAGAGTGATTTAGGATAAATGTTTTTAGAAAGCCTTTATCCGCTTGTCGGTACCTTCTATCTTCACGTCTTTGTTTGGTCGATCATCGGTATTGGTGTCCACTTAAACATGAAAAATTGTGACAAAATTAGGACATACTATTAGTTATAAGCCAAAGTGATCGTAAGTTCCTAGAAAATATTTCTTAAGGACCATTCATCTGACGACGACCAAGGATATTGTAGTCCACCTAAATTAAGCAGCGAGATTTATAGATGGTCTTTGAGTGTTCAATTTTAATTGTACCAGAACATGTTTCCTGCTTCCTGATATGCCCAGTAATCAAGGACTTCCAGAGCAGACAATTATAAAGAGAGAAGATAGATTTAGAATGCATATGCTATACACCCAGGTCGGATCTCTTCCAATCACGTAGAGGGTGGAACATATGACTAACTGAAGTTTTAGAGGGATTGAGAAGTAGAATGGTGCATATACTGTGTACCACGTCGGATTGTGAGTCACGCAAAGGAGACAGTATATGGCTAACATATAGAAAGAATTGCATAGATAGAAGATGCAGAGAAATAGAGTTACATATGTTACCTTCGAGGTCGGATTATGAGTCACGCACATGAGGTAACATATGACTAACAAATAGAAAGAAAGAATATAACCATCTACAGACCTAATTTATCGGAATTCACCAGTCGTCCCATCAATACCAGAATTAAGGACAGAATCCGCACATCGAGGAAAAGTAAAACCACGGTTCCAGATACGAGTTCATTTTTAGTGACGAGTAGATTCCCATATATATCTCCCTGCTCAATCTATCCAAGCGTCGTATCGTTAGGCTAAACGGATCTAACTAGGTCAAGATTTGTCAAGTTTATAGATTTCCTAAGTTCAGCTCTGCCTAGTCATGTCCATTTAGAATATTTCGTGCCTACCGACGCATCAAACCAGAGCATAGATCCTTCAACTTTGGGTACGTTACGCATACTTAGATTGCATGTTATCAGTTAATAATATCACTTCCCAAAACATCTCCCTCAAGCACATTTCATAACCAACATATTTTTTTTGATTTTCTAATTTTCTAATGTTTTTGGATTTTTTTTTTTAATTTTTCTAATTTTTGTTTTTTTTTATTTCTCCCCGTAAATTTGTGCATAGGAGAAAAACAAAAGGAAATGCGCAAATTTAAACTATCCTAAAACAAAAATTTGTCTTTAAAGCGAATCAGTTTAAGAAAATGTAATAGCCCGAATTCCAGGTTAGATTTATGGCCCTTCTATTTTGGAGAGTTGGCATTTTAGTCCCTTGAAGTTGAAAAGATGATTTGGTGAGTACGCTAGTCGTACGCCGCGCGTACTCATGCGCTTAATTCATACGCGTGTTCATCCGGGTACGCTGGGCGTAACCCGCCGAGATGTAAAACCCTAAATTGTGGCCTTGCACTATAAAAGAAACATGTAGTCCCTTGCCCTAGCCACCATACATCCTTGAGAGAACCCTTAGAAAGCTGAGATTCGTGCTTTAGCTTGTGTGTGAGTTTTTGAGCTTGAAGTTTTCTTTTCAAGGTGAAGAAGGAGAAGAGGGAGCCATTGTTGGAGCTAGAAGTTGAAGAACAAGTATAGATCCGAGTTCTACAGTGGTTGGAGATCCTTCGTGAGGTAAAAAGCTCAAAGCTTTCCTTGTTCTTCATAAGCTTTGCTTGTTGGACCATTTGTTAGGGTTTTGGTTCAAAGTTGGAGACTTTATGTTCAAAGAGTCTCCATAAGCTTAGATCTGACCTTTTCTAGTGTAAAATGTGTTGAGGAGTCATAAAAATCGAGTCTTGGACGTGGATTTTATGGCATGCATGAGTTATAGTCTCGTTATGGAAAGAGGAAAGGTGTTTTGAGCACAAAGTGATCTTTACAGACATGCAAAGGCTTAAAGGTTCCAACTTTATGGTTTAAGACGTATTAGAGGGGTCAGATTTGAAGTTTGGATGCAAGTCTTAACAGTTTAAGACCTGAATATGCTGAACAAAGAAACTGGGCATTACGCTGGGCGTAATCCCAGTACGCGCCACGTAAGGGGTTGCGTACCATGCTTCTGGAAGGCAAGAGTACGCCCCGCGTACAGGAGCTGGTACGCCTTGCATACTGCTTGCTATTGACTTTTGTTGACTTTTAGGGTTTTAGTCAACATGTGGACTTTTGGGTCAGGGAGGTGTAAAATGGTCTTTTACCATTCTGTGGAATTTTAGAAGGAATATAGTATAGCCTTGAGAGCCGTTAATGATTATTTGATATGATTAAGCGAGGCTAGGTCGAGGTTACGAGATTCAGAGATATCAAGCACGTGAGATTTAGACATCATACGAGGTAAGTCTTCTCACTATACTGTACCTAGAAGGGTACCTATGTGTGACCGGAAGGTCTGGTATGCTATAAGATATATGCATTGTATTTTATAAGTTGCCTGTTTGTATGCGATATGTATGCTATGTTTGATTTGGGCCGGAAGGCATTATGTTATGGGCCGGAAGGCATTATGATGTAGACCGGAAGGTCAGGGAGTTACGGACCGGAAGGTCAACACGGGTGGGACCAGAAGGTTCACTGGGTCGGGATGGAAGTCCCCTAAGACGCATAAACCGGATGGTCATGGCCCATAAGGGCGTATGTGTGTAAGCGGTATATTGGGGAACTCACTAAGAATTTATGCTTAAAGTTGTTGTGTTATGTGTTTCAGGTACTAACGAGGACCGTGGGAAGGCACCGGCATGACTCGTACACACACACACAGTTGGATTTGGATTTATTTGATCTTGGGATTTGACATGTTTTGTATTATGATTATGATACATGGGATTTTTATGGTTGGATTTGGATGAAAATATGCTGTTAAGAAATGGAAATTTGTTTTGAAAAATTACATTGTTATAGAAAAACTTAGGAGTATAGAGAAGAAAACTCAAACCGTAAGTCACCGATTGAATTTGCATCCAGAAGGTCTGAGAACAGCACACCTAATCTCCGAACAGATCTGAAAATTCGTCATGTCATTAAGCACTAACCCCATGAGTGATCTCTTCCTTTCTTCCTTTCCCGCAAAGGACACATACTCTGAAACAAAGGTCTGAATGTTGTACAGTTGAGAGATGTGCTCTATCATGTGCCTGGAAAAGCCACTACCAACAAACCGAAGTTTGATGATATACCTCCATAGATGCTCCGGCACAGAGCGGGATTAGTTGGTCTTTGGAACCCAGTCCATTTTGAAACTGAGTTGACCTTTTTCATCCTTGCACGATACTCTCTCCCATGACAAATCCTGTTTATCACAAACAGAAGATGTAGAAATATTAGAATCCTTAGAAGATTTGGGAGAGTAAGCCTTTGGAACCCATTTGTAGTTGGGTTTAACCCATTTCTTTTTCGATCTGATGGGTGTCTCAGCACTTGATTTTGAACTTGATGTCGGCCGTTGAGATGACTTTGATTTTGGCTTCACGGGAGCATGTCTTCGATTTGACTTCTTTGCCGACATTCCCTTCTTGTTATTGGGATTCAGATTCTTGGCCTTTTGCGCATTCCAGTCACCATTGTTTGAACGTGACCTAGAGGGGTTTCTTTTAGAAAATCTCCCTCTTGGCACATTTTGCCGTCCTTGTGCATAGTAGGGAACGTATGCGCGATTAGGACAATTTCTAGCAATGTGTGCAGGTGTTCCACAGTGAAAGCATATCTTTTTCTTCACTGGGAAGTTGTTTCTTCTTGCCCCCGGTGGCTTGTCTTTGCCTTGTCTCTTTCTTTTCCCATACGCACAGTTACAATAGGCACTCTGTTTAGCTTGAAATGGTGGCCTGTATTTACCAACATCAGGTTTGTTAGGATTAACTGAATTAGAAGCAACAGATTCAGAGTTCTAGGAGTCATTGGATTGTTCAATAGTTTTCTACTTGTTCTCATCCTCTACTACTTTACTTGCACAGGAAGTAGAATCATTAGTATCGTTCATCTCAACACCCTCAGTTGCCTGTTCAACAATTGGTTTACCGTATACCATAAA